ATAAATACTCTCCCAGCCGGCCCCACAGATTCTCTTTTAATTGATCTCACGTGAGGTCTCTGCTAGCAATCTGCAGCTGAAGTAGAAATTCAGTTTAGAAGCGCCCATTGCTGCGACCCATTTCCAGCAGCTTTTTGCAGATTCCCGTGTGTAACTCGCCCGTTCCCTGAGGTTAAAATACTCTCATGCTTCACCCGTGTGGCCCTTCCAGAAGGCCGGTCTAAAGGTGTACCTTTCCGAGGGAAATGGCTTACTCCCTCCTTTGTGGTGGTAAAACACATTTACACACAATTCACCGTGGTGCAGTGCTGGAGGGCAGAGACTCCTCTGTCCAGGCTACCTCAGCGAACAAACACATTTTTTAAACCAATTAACTAGAATCACCATTGCTTTTGTGGTTGTTTTGATTGGTTTTATTGACGTTCCCCCCCCCCCCCCACCCCCCTTTGGAAAAGTATTAAATTAAAAAGCCCTGGTGGTCACATACACACAAAAGGGGGTTGTACAACATGGTCCTTAAGGTCTTTTCTAAAACTCAAGAGTCTGATTCTGTGTGATATTGGTAGGATTTTAACTCTGCATTATTGCATATATTAAACACTTTCTGTTTGGCAGTAAGGTTCTATCTAGAGAGAGAATACAGCGAACCTGCAAATAAAAGAAAAAATTAATGGGTGGATGGGTTTTACGAAAGAGTCACACCCACCAGATTAGATTTCATTGACATTTCTGTGAGTTTGAATAGATATCTTTAAAAATTGAAAACTAGTTATTCAAAAGGATGTTTGAAAGGAAAATAGGGCCCTGAGCAGTGTGCCTAAGTGGTTAGAGCGCAGGCCCTCTCACTGAAGGACTCCTTCCCCAGCCCCAGGAGGGGCACATTGAGGGGAGGGGGCAGCCAATTGGTGTGTCTCTCACATGGATGTTTCTTTCTCTCCTCTCTCTCCCTCCTGTCCTCTCTAAAAATCAATGGAAAAAATATCTTTGGGTGACGATTGACATAAATAAAGGAAAATAAGTTGAAAATACAGGAATGGGACTGTGAGACTTGACGTGCTTGGATTGTTGGAAATCAGGCAGGTAGTATAAATGAAAGAGGTGATAGCCCACCTTCCAGCCTGACGGTATAGCCACCAGGCAAAAATAGGAAGTGCTCGTAGAAAAAATGAGCAGGAAGGACAGAAAATGTTAGGGTGTTTGTCCTAGAGAGGCACACTTAGCAAGGCCATGCAAGGACTCTTGAGACTGTGGTGACTACCTCTCGCATAAACCAGTGGAAAGATTTGTGTAGAATTCATTTTTACTTCAACATTTGAGCCCATTATTTCTAGAGATTTTTAAATAAGAGACAGTGAGCCAAAAGGGAAGGAAACTCCCAATTCTAAATTAAGAGCAAAGTTTAGAGAGAGAACAATGCTCAAGAAAATGTGAATTATAATTTTTATTTTCTATTTTTGAACATTGCCAAAATTCTTTCCTATAAACGTTATCAAAAGATGGTTGAATTAGGTACAATTGAGGGATAGGTCGTGGTGTACCAGGGTCCAATATAAGATTGCCAAAAACTATGAGATTGTTAATTCCTCAGTAATTGCATTTACATATATCTTTTTCAAAGTTTCAGAGTTTTCTCTTTTTGCCAAAGCAAAACTGGAAACGTGTTTGTTGTATTGGAACCTAGACTATATTGAATCCAAACTATTTGACTTGGAGGACCACCAGGATATAAAAATACATGTAGATGGAAAATGTCATCTAATACCTTCCCTCAGGTCAACCCAGCGGATGCAGTCATTCCTGGGTACTTCTCCTTAGTTCTCCAAATCACTCTGAGATATTCTCAGCATCACATTTACCTCGCTCTTGCAAGCGTGCATGATGCAGTCCGGATGACACCCTTATGAGCCTTCCTTACACTTGATCTGGAGCCATTGGGAGGATTTTCAACATGCCTGTTTTATCGATGGAGTGATGAAGGATACTCAAGCTTAAAGCCTCGGCTGGTTGTTCCACAGAAGTTCCCTAGGCAAGGAAAAATATTAATACCACCTGAAATCAGCCAGCACTTGTTCCAGGCCCAATTTAAAATTGAGTCGTATCAACTCCAAGCGATTGGGCCAGGGCCATTGGTATCCACACTCTAAGCACGATAGCGACGTTCAGAACAGACCAAGTCCTCAAGTCTCCACTTCTTGGTACGGAAGTTTGGTGTTTTTTTTAAATTAATAAATCTTTATTGTTCGGATTATTACAGATGTTCCTCTTTTTTCCCCCCATAGCTCCCCTCCGCCTGGTCCCCACCCCACCCCATGCCCTTACCCCTGCCACTGTCCTCATCCATAGGTGTAAGATTTTTGTCCAGTCTCTTCCCGAACCCTCCCACCCCTTCCCCCCTGAGAATTGTCAATCCACTCCCTTTCTGTGTCCCTGATTCTATTATATTCACCAGTTTATTCTGTTCATCAAATTAATTACCTTCTT